CCCTGTTTCCTCCCATCCTTCATCCAAGTCACAGACGTCCTAATGTGAGGTCAGGGTCTTGGTTGACATCGTTACTTTGGGTTTTCATATCTGCCTGGTTGTGGTTCCACTGACACTCGTGGAGTACAAATCAACAAACACTTTGTTTTCTTCTGTCTTTTCTACATATTCACCCTTTAATTTTAAGAAGAAAAAAAACCCCACATCTCCAAGTCAACCAGAGGCTAGTGAAAAGAGAAACAAATCCCGAATCCACCCACGGACCTCACACACCGGAGGAATTCCTGTTTGTAACATGTAGAATATTTAATAAGAAATCGTAGGTGTTCATTAAAGTTCGCTCTGATGAAGCCGGGAGGCAAAACACCAACACTGAAACAACACAATATATTTACAGCTACAGACGAGCCCGAGCAGGAAGTTGTTCAATTTGATGTCTGTCAACATTTAGCAAGCCGCTCCTCCTCCCCTGGTCTGTAGGTGGAGCTAAGTACATATGAAATCCCCGTTCTGTAACGTTAAAATAACTGGTGTAATATTTCACAACAAACTAAATCTGGTCTGGTTTTTCGCAGCATGTTTGCAAATTAGCCGTGGGTTAGAAACGTGTTAGCATGTGGAGTACAAGTTGGAAATTAGCATTAAAGCACCATGCTAGTACATAGCATCAGTAGCTGAAGGTTATACGTATGCTACACTGAGGGATGGCTAGTACCTTGGAATTTATTTTTAAATGTTTTCACCAAACCTGGCCAGGCTAACTTCTCTAAAACGCTACGCCTAGCGAGAGCCTCACCCGCGAAAAAGTACAATTCTTAGAGAAATAGAAATATTCTTAGATCAAATATTTTTTTGTGAAAAATATTGAGGAAATTTAAATTATTTTCACGTACACAATTATTCATCCTCTAGCTGTTAATCCATTTCAGGGTTGTCGGAGCTAATCCTAAAAACAACAACCAATGATTGGCTGCTCTCTTGACAGTTCACCAATCCACTGCAAGGCCACATATATACAAACAACCATGTACAACTACACTGTACCCAAACCTGGAAGTAGTTTTTTTTTGGACTCTGGAATGACCTCAGAAACTCAAGATCAAACCACTTTTTTCTGCATCGTGGCCCAAGTCAGAAAAACATTTGACCAAAACACTAGAAATTCTTTATTTAATAAAGTTGTTTTTCTACAATTCTCTCCCTGGAAGTTGTGCTCGAAGTAGAAAAGTAGAGGTTTGACCTTCATAAGTGTCCAATAATCCGATCATTCCTTTTTATTGTGTGATACAGAAGCTTCCAGAACATTCGATCGCGTTCACACTGTTTCCACAGTTTCTGCTTCAGCGTTCCCAGCACGGAATGTTCCAGAGCTACGGGTAAACATCGATTCCTCGCTGCCAAAAGCTACGGTGGCTAAAGTTGATAAACATCGTGGACCACCGATGAATGGCTGCTGAGGGTCGATCTACAGTAAATAGACTGGAGATTTTAGAAAAAAAAAACCATCCTTTATGTTTGTGTCTATTTTTACCTAGGGCGATATTTTAACAACAACCTCCTGGTGCCAAATGAAAAAAAAAGTAATGACAAGGAAGGCAAGTGGACGTACAGTAAAATGTCAACAATAATGACAAGGAAGGGAAGTGGACGTACAGTAAAATGTCAACAAAATATTGAACTTTTCCGCGGGAGACACTTTGTCCACGTAAAATCAATAAAACAACCTTAAAGAAATAGGTTTGTTTGTCACAACTCGGTTACAGGAGGTGGTGACGCACCGTCAGAGCCGGGACGTGGACCGAACAACAGATTAAGACATGGATCATTGCTTTCACTGAACACATCCCCCCCCCCCCCCCCCCCCCCCCTATACACAACAAACACAACAAAAATCAAACACTATAGAGACACATGAAAAAGACCATTTAACAAAGGTTTAAACTAAATGCATTTACTTTGAAATACAGGGTGTGAATAAAGTTTGTGTAGATAATATTTGTTAACGTAAAGAAACAGAAAAAAATGAAAATTCTAAATCGGTAAAATAATAGGTAAAAATCAACAAGGCACGGACTTCTTCAAAACATGAACTACTAGGAAAACACACACAGACCACAAACTGAACAGTACAATGATCCCACAACGTCAGAGTGAGGGACAGAGGCATCTACTGTACAGTATACCCAGGGCACCAGGGGGCACCAGTGAGACTAACGACAGAGACACAGGTGAGTGTGATGACACTGATTAAACCTCACACAGCAGACGGCAGGAACAGGAGCTGACAGCTGTGGTTATTACTTTTTAAAGCCTCATCCTCGGATCTCTCTGGATGAGAAAAAAAAAAAAAAAGAAAAACGACCCAAATGACCCAAACGACCTGAACGGTCCATCACGATGTGTGTACGTCCGTCCAGCAGCAGCAGCACTGGAATAAAGACGTCTTTGTGGTTTTGAAGATCCCA